GACAGCGGCTCCGTCACACGCCCCTTCCCTTCCAGGGCGCGGAGTTCCAGGCGGGGCGTGCTGCCGCGCGCCCTGGTCGCGGTTGGGGCCCGGTGGGCGCCAGCCTCTGAGCAAGGCTGACCCCTGGGTGGCAGTTACGTCCTCCATTCGACGCCAGGTTTATTTGTTGCTCCTGGACGTTTGTGATGTATGATTTCACCCGAGTTAAAAATGCCCCCAAGGGAGTAGACACCAGGACTGGCCCTCCCACCCCCAGCTCTTCTTGTGAGGCCATCCAGGGGCGGGGAGGGGAGGCGAGCTGGGGAAAGGGCGAACAAGTCCCCAGCAGCTTGTGGGTGAGAAGGGTGCTTGGAAATGGCCAAAATGGTTCATTTTTTATGTATTATTATTGCTATTACTATTTTCAGTTTTTGCTGGAGGGCATATGAGCTGCTCAGAGAGAGAGAGAGGGAAAGGGAGACTCCCCCGCCCCCAACACACCCCACCGAGACCACGCTGCTTTCTTCTCCTCCAGTCCGCTCTTGGGATCTTGGGGACCACGCAGTACCCACGGTGATTTTTAAGTCCCCAGGTCCCGGACTGCAACTGCTCAAAAGGCCATGAGGGATCCAGCACCTTAACTAAGCTCCAGGTTCCCGCAGGCCTGTTAATTTTAACAAGTAGAAATAGGGAAATAGTTGCCGGTCCGCTGGGCAAGTTTTCAGGAGTTTGTAACAAGACAGTGCTTTCTTTGAAAGCACATATTTTATTTTTAATGTAAAATTTATCTTTATTGTAAAGAAATCAGAAACTGTAGAAAAGGAGGATGAATATATAAATGTGTGTATATATTGTATATATGTGTGTATGTATGTGTGTGTATATATATGTGTGTATGTATGTGTGTATATTGTATATATGTGTGTGTATGTATGTGTGTGTATATTGTATATATGTGTGTATGTATGTATGTGTGTATATATTGTATATATGTGTGTATGTATGTGTGTGTATATATTGTATATATGTGTGTATGTATGTGTGTGTATATTGTATATATGTGTATGTATGTGTGTATATTGTACATATGTGTGTATGTATGTGTGTATATGTGTGTATGTATATGTGTATATTGTATATATGTGGGTGTATGTATGTGTGTGTATATAGTATATATGTGTGTGTATGTATGTGTGTGTATATATTGTATATATGTGTGTATGTATGTATGTGTGCGTATATATTGTATATATGTGTATATGTATGTGTGTATATTGTATATATGTGTGTATGTATGTGTGTGTATATTGTATATTTGTATATATGTGTGTATGTACGTGTGTATATATATTGTATATATGTGTGTATGTATGTGTGTGTATATATATTGTATATATGTGTGTATGTATGTGTGTGTATATATAATATATGTGTGTATGTATGTATGTGTGTGTATATATTGTATATATGTGTGTATATATGTGTGTGTATATTGTATATGTGTATGTATGTGTATATATATTGTATGTATGTGTGTATGTATGTGTGTATACAATATACATATATGTATATACACACATGCATATATATGTATATATGTATACACACACACACATTCTGGCTCTAAACTTGATGCTATTTCCCTGTCTTTTGTTAATTCAGAAATACATTTTTTAAAGAATTATTTAGTTTTATTTATTCATTCATTATTTTAATTCAACCAGAGAGAGACACAGAGAGAGAGAGGGAAAGTGAGAAAGCAAGCCACCAAGTCTGGGATTTGAACTGTAGTCTGCTATGTGGGAGTGTCCAGCGCCTCAACCACCATGCCACCTGCTGGTCCCAAGAGATGCATATATTCCTAAAGGACAGCTTTATAAGGTACTCATTTTATGTATCATATATGTAAAATGACTATATATAATTGTCGTAGGTTATTGAGAAAATGAGAATGAACACTGAAGAAAACTCAAAACATGCCTAGTTCTTCCTGTACCAGGAGATAACCATTGTTAAAATGTTGGTAATTCTTACAGATTAAAAAAAATGATGAAAAATATATGTTGCAGACCTGGAAAGTAAATAAGTGCATTTGAATGACTTATGGCACTGTGACAGACATACATTAAAGTGCAGATACTCGAGCCGTACATTTCAGAAGGGCCTGGCGTGTGTAAACATCTGTGACGCCATCACCGGAGTTCTGACAAGGAACACGTTCATCTCCCAGCCCTTCCTCAGCCCTGTTCGTGCTTAGTCCTTTCTTTCTTCTGCCTCTCTCTGTCCTCCCCCACCCTAAGCAACTACCAGCTGGTCTTTTCTCGCTGTATAGGCTGGTTTGCATTTTCTGGAATTCAAATGAATAGTATCAGCAGTCCGGATTCCTGTTGGCCTCCTTTCTTCCACTCAGCGTAATTATTTGGCGCTCTGTCCTTGTTGTAGTGTGTGTGGATATACCACCATTTGTTAACCCTTTCGCCTGCTGGCAGGCATTTTAGGTGTTTAGCGTTTTTGGCTATTAAAATGAAGTAGTTGAGGTTGGCAGGTGGCGTGGTAGTTAAGGCACTGGATTCCCACATGGCTGGCCACCACTCAAGACCCGGCGGCTTTCTTTCTCACATTTCTCTCTCTTTCTCTGGTGAGAGCATGTGCCCGATAGCAAATTAAAATAATAATAATAATAATAAATAAAATGAAATAAATGATTCTTTTAAAAATGTAAAATAAAGCAGTTATGGATGGTCCTGTGTGCTCACATGCTCTCATCTCTCTTGGGTAAATAGCCAAGTAGAATTCTTGGATCGTGTGGTAAGTGGATGTTTAACTTTTTAAGAACCTTCTGAAGCGTGTTTCCGACGTGGTGGTACCATTTTACATTCTTGTCAATGGTGTATGAGAGTTCAAGTCCTTTCCCATCTTTACTAATACTTGCTATTGTCAGTCACTTACTTCTAATGTAAACTTAATTTTTTAATTGAAGCTCTTCTAATAGGCGTGTACTAGTGTTTCATTGTGTTTGTGATTTGCATCCCCATAATGCTTAATGATGGTGAGTGCATTCCCACTTGCATTTTTCCAGTCATTTTTTAGGGTAAAAGGTGTTCAAATCTTTTGCACATTTATATAGCAGGACATTTGTTTTCTGATAATTGACTCCTCATGGTTGCTATCTAGGTCTTATTTTTTAATTTATTCTATTTTTTAGGGTCTTGCTGTAGAGTGCATGTACTCGCCAGAGAGAGACAGAAACAGAGAGAAGAAACTGAGAAATCACCCTCCAGGGGGTATGGCCATGCTGCAGTCCTTCCTCCTTCATTCTCCTCTTGGGATCTGGGGCATGCATGCATGTTTGCCTGGTGTGATTTTTAAGCTACCAGGTCTGGGACTCCAACCATGGTCAACCATGTGGGAGTCCAGTGCCTTAACCACCATGACACCTGCTGGCCCCTAGGTCTTTGATATTAGCATTGCTCTGTTCAGACCTTTTGAATATAATCTGTAGAGTACCTTCTCTATGTCACTTTCCTTTATTGCCTTGGATAAGTCAGACTGCCTTTTAGATCAGTTTCCTTGGTTGTAAATTTAAGACACTACTTACCTCCCATGAGTGGCCGAAAGAATTAAATAATAGAATGTACTGAGAGTACTTATCACAGTGCTTGACACAGAATTAGTACTCAGAATAATCGCTAATAGCTTTTATGGCATAATTTCTATTTAATTATCCTAAATTAATCATTTTATATTACTCAGTAAGCACTTATTATTATTACCGAATATGGGAAACCCTATACAACTTACAAAGAACATTTACATGTGTTATATAGTTGCTGTCATGTGTGGATAGTGAGATAGAGATTCTTTTATTATGTGAAAATGTCAAATATAGTTTTATAGTAAGCTCCTTGCTCTCAAATGAGCTTCTTAAAGTGTACCATAAATAAAATGGAAGCCTAAGATCTGGCTGTATTTAAATTCTGCTAGTAGAATGAGATAGGTATGTACCAGGCCCTTCTCACTAATTTTTACTCCTCTATACTGATTTTTGCCTTTATTTTTCTGAACTTTTGCTATTTAAAAAAATGTGGTTCCCTAAAGAGAGGTTAGGAAAACGATTCTTTAGAGTGATATTAAATGCCAACTGCTGCTACTCGTATTTTAGAAAAATTGATGCTCTTCATATAAATGTTTATCCCCAAAGTAATAAAATGCATAGATATAAAGCAAATGCAATATATGAACTGTAATGTAAAGCAATGCTATAAAACACAGTACACATTTAAAGATCCCATGTTAATTTACCCCAAAAGTTTCTTCTCTGTATTACAAAGTTTGTCATGTCATCTGCTAGACTTTGAAGACTCTTGAATTCTTGAACCTGTCTTTTTTCTTTTTAGCATATCAGTAGCATCCAGCAAAACTCAACTAATTCCACATTTCCCCCATTAACCCTATGTCTGGTAGGTGTTCTGCTTATCTTAAGGGTCTTTGATTTTTCTTGAATAGTATTCATAGTAAAATTGATGTTGTTCTAACAAAATGCAAACCTAGACTGTTCTCCACTACTTTCACAACTCATTTCTTTCTTAGTATTTTTTTTTTTTAAAGTTTATTTCCTAAGAAAGACAAGAACCCTCAAGAGGGTCTCCTGCATGGTCCTCTCTTAGCTCCCTCAGCCTGGATTAGGTGCAGCCTGTGCGTGCCGGCCAGCCTGGGAACCTGAGGAATCCTGATCCTCACAGTGGCTCCCGGAGTTGTATTGTGCTACCCTGCACCACCAGGCTGGGCCGGCTTCCCTTCGTCTTCGTAGCTTCTTTTTGAACACCCCCCACCCCGTTAGGTTTCATGTGTCTCTGTGGGTGAGTTCTCTCTCTGCTCTTCACTGTCCTCTGCTCAGATCGAGAACCCGTCTTTCCAAACTTCCTTCACTCTCTCCTAAAATCCGTGTTACATTTTTAAGTCCCATTATATATATATATTACCTTCTCTGTGAGGTCTTATGTCATTCAGAATTAATCACTACATCACAGCTAGGGCAGGCCAACAGGTGGCGTGATGGTTAAGGTGCTGGACTCCCACATGGCTGACCATGGTTCGAGCTCTGGACCTGACAGGTTGCTTCCTCACTTTCTCTCTCTCTCTCGCTGTCATGCACACATGCTCTGTAGCAAATTAAACAAATAATAATAGTAATGATAAATAAAACTA